AAAGATTACCAAGTGACAAAAACAAACTTTCATTTATTAGGAAGGATGAAACCCATCATCAATATTTTCAAAATATATCTTTACTATTAAATGATCAAATTGAGAAAGTTATATATTTCAGATTTCTTGTTAAAAATAGAAATTAAGAAGTAATTTTGAATGCATTACGATAGAACAACCATTAAAATTTATTGAGATTACTTCTGTTTTTCACTCAGAATAATACAAAAATGTAAACCTGTTTTTGTTTTATTGTATGATTCAACATAAAAATAAATTAAATGAAGAAATAAATGGTACCAATTATAACTATCTTAAAATGTTATAAATAATAATACTAATACAAGAGTTAAATGGATTCAAGAAATAAATTAAATGAATAAATTGGAAGCTGTAGTTGAAATTACCATTTTCTGGATCCTCAGCACAGTCAAAGAGACCATTCGTCCATTCCTGAGTCGGAGCAAGGTATTGAGTTCCAACAGCAATCCCTTCCGGAGGGCCATTTTTAACCGGCGTTTGATATCCTGTCGGAGCTACACCGTAATTCACCACCTGTGGCTGAGCATTAGGAAAGGCGTAGTTGTTACTTTGAGGAGCAGTGTAAGCTTGTTGATGAGTACTAGTCTGCTGAGGTGGAAACTGAACAGGCTGTGGCTGAGGAGGAAACTGAACAGCCTCCGGCTGAGGTGGGTATGCTGCCGGTGACTGTTGTGGTGGGTACGTATGTGGTTTCTGAGGTGGGTAAGCTTCAGGTGGCGGCATACTAGCACCTTCCGGCTGATGTGAGTATGCTGATGGTGATTGTTGAGGTGGGTACGTATGTGGCTTCTGAGGTGGGTAAGCTTCAGGTGGCGGAATACTTTCTGGCGACTGAGGTACGAATGAACGAGTGGCCTGAGGGTGGCTCTGATTCCGATCATTGTGAGCCAAATTAGCATCTGGTTGTGAAGGAAAGGGTGAGGCTGATAGTGGGTTTTCATGATTGTTTGGGTAGCCTTGTGGTGGTGGCGATGGATGTTGGAATGGGGTTTGATCGGAGGAATGAGGAGCTGGATTTCCGTTACCTCGGCCCATCTTACTTCGAATTATCTGTCAGGTCCAACGACTTTTGTTTAGGTTGGTGTAAGGAATGAAACACATGAAGACATAGATATATAGGAAGCAATGTAGTAGTAAAGACGTGGTTTGTGAGACTCCTTCATATGAACACAAACAAACAAGTTGACAATCACGCAAGTTGACACCATTATCATGGTCGACTTATTATCATAGTTGACTAATGAATATCATCGTTGGTATATACAACTTGGATTTAGTATATATATATATATATATATATATATATATATATATATATATATATATATATATATATATATATATATATATATATATATATATATATATATATATATATATATATATATATAAAAGTTCAAATGTTTGTAGCAACTATTATCTGGATGTATGCACCAATAAAAATTGAGAAACTAATAAATAATTAAATAAATCATTTAAGAATATTATAGTAATCTTTACATATTTAATTATGATCGATAATTAATATGTTTATTATCCCTTTAAATATGGGATATCAAAGTCAAAACTTAAATAAAAAAACCCTACAATTATCGTCTTCAATTTTCTTCGTCCATATCTATGTTGTCTCGCTGGTGTAATCGAACCATCAAATCCGTTCCTCCACCTTCTTCAACATCCCAACCCATCATCTTCCATAGCCCCACTACTTGTACCGACACACAATGTCTTCTTCCTTCCTTCCCCTCCATTGCCGATACCCAAACCAAATCATCATCTCATCACCACAACCCACTTGTCGGACCACCATCAGGTAACGTCGACGTCCACGACACCGATGACGAGTAGCTCCTCACCGTCAACATCAACAGTTTAGTTCCCGACGACGACGACCACGGCCAGGTAGCTTCTTCTTTTCTGTTTTTCTTTTTCTTTCTCTTCTATGTAACGCCCGTAGATTCGAGCTAATCAATTTAGAGATAATAGGGGTCGAAAATGACTTTTTGACAAACCAAGTTGCAGAATACGCCTCAAGGGTTCCGTACATATAAATAACGTTTAAATCCGAGTTTTAACAAAGAAGTTATAGTCCGTCGAAGTTTTACGGCAAAACCGGCACGACACCGAGAGACGTAAATAGTGAATTTACTATGGAGGACTTTTTAACCTTATAAATCTAAACAAAAGTTGTAGCATACGTTAAAGAGAGAACATACAAAAAAAAGAACGCCCAAATCTGACTTCGTATGAGGAAGTTATGAATTTTATAAGATTTGGCTTAGCAGTACACAGCCCGAAACTCAAATTTTAGATCGAGCGATCTTTGGCTTACGCAACCTAAATGAGAATTGAATATCTCATTAATAGGAACTCAACGGTAAAAAGACAGACGAAAACATAGTTCGTATGTAGCAGTTATGAATTTTACGTGGACATTTAACAATATAATCTCATTGTACTGTTAAATTTAAGATCGGTCGAGAATTAGCCAACGGAGTCAAAATAAAAGTGGTAGATCTTATTTTTACCTACGCGTGGATATAAAGAACGTCAAAAACAGAGGTCGTATGTGAAAGTTACGGATTTTAGAAGTCGAAAGTGTGCTGTGCGAAAATGGGTGATGTGGCACAATATTGACCATTGCTTTCTCCCTAAGTCTTGCCACTAGATGGTGACATGTGGTACCAAGTTCAACCATTTTCACCTTATTAATAGAACCTCTTCCACCCTCATTTTCTTCACACATTTCCTATTTTTTTCTTCTCTTTACTCTCTCTCTCTAGAACCTCTCTTTAGCCCTGAAACCCCCCGAAAAGGCTAGGGAACCTCCCTAGCACGAGGCAGAAGTCCCGGAGTGCTCGACGGATCCGAGAAGAAGAGATTTTCGGCTTGGGAACGCTGCTCCAAGCAAAGCTCGGTTTTCTATAAAACTCGCTGTAAGTGAGCTACGCCTACGCGATTTTTAATATAGTTTTTATTTAATTATAGTAATGTTATTAGGAACTTATAATAAGTACTTAGGCTATTATTATGGGTTATATAAGTATTGTTTAATGCTTATATAATAGTAATAATAGCTAGACTATTAATTAGTCTCGACAAATAATATACTAAATTCTAGTGGTAATTACTAGGTTTTGTAGAATGAAATTATTTTTAAAAAGCGAAGCGCTGTCTAAGTTCGGAATCACCACCTTTTCAAGTGAGTGCATAGTCACTTTCATGAACATGATTTTAATACAAGTATCAATTAAAGTATTAAATATATGTTAAAAAGTTAAATATTTGTTGAAGAGTTTATGTGTGAGTGCATAGTCCCTTTCATGAACATCATTTTAATACAAATATCGACTGAAGTATTAAATATATGTTTATGTGCGAATTATTTGATGTTTCCTGAGATACATGTTAAAGAACATACCTGATTATATATGCTGATTTAGGATAAAGTGTAAACCTAAATTAATTATGAGGAATATCGGGTAGTGTTTTCTTACAAGTACGAGTGAATTATACTCAGAGAATAAAACTTTAGTATATGTCATTCATCCGGGAGCATGGATTAGGCATAATCATTCATCATTAATCCTAGAGTATGGATTAGTCATTCGTCCCTAGTCCAATAGTATGGATTAGGTAAAGTCGTTCATTTCTGATCTGGGAGTATGGATTAGGTAAAATGGCTAATCTTAGGTCCGAGAGTATGGATAGTCTCGTTCTGAGGATCGACGGGGTGGGATAAGAGTTGTTTAGATAAGAGTTGTTTATATATATGGTGAAATTGTATATTTTGTGAGTTTTAAACTATATATATATGGTATAACATTATGGGATTGAAATCTCTATGTACTTACCAGGTTTTCCAACCTGACCTTCTCAGTTTATTTATATCACAGGCGTTGATATGAAGTCACATTACACTGAGAGATTAAGGAGATATAAATCACTAGTGATAATGAATGTAAGTTCTGTTTATGCTTATGTTTTTGTATTAACGATGACATCCCAAATGTTTTAAAATGAATAAAAATACTTTTCTTTGTAAGTGCTTTGATAACTTATTTATCATGTTTTACTGGTAACAAATTCCACAACATTTTTATTAAAAGAGGTACTCTGATTTTTATAAAGTATAAACAAAATCGGTCTTTTCTAGCCGTGAAAATGGGGATGTCACATTCCCCCTGTGACATATTCATTATTCATGTCCAGTTGTTTCGATCCCTTTCCAGAATTGCTGAAGATATAGCGGAATTTGTGATATATGAAATTATATGTTGTGTTTTTTGGAATATAAAATTGTATATGCTTTGTTTGCTGAAACATGAAACTAGATGCAGAAATCAGTTTTTTTTTAATGATATTACTTTACTGAAATATGATATTAGATGAAGAAATCTGAACTTAGATGCTATTTGTTTGTTAAAGTATGAAGTTAGATGTATAAATCAGATTTTGATTGTATTACTTTGATGAAATCTGAAATTAGATGTTATAATTAGATGATGAATTATGAACTCTTGAACATTCATTGCTGAAATCGGAACTTCATAGTTGTTTTGCTTACAAAAGTATAACAATTAGCCAAATAAAAATTGTAGGTGAGGATAATTTATGGTTAAAACTTTGTAAGAATACATTAGGCTTGGTATGTATACATAGTGTATTTTGTAAGAATACAATATGTTTTGTGACAACCCGAAATTTCTATCTTGTACAACCATACAATTCAATCAAAGTCAAACTAGTTTCTGCTATCCTTTAGCACTATTAAGGATCTGTTTGAGAGTTTTTGAGCCTAATGTAATGTATGAATGGATGTTGGGATTAGTTAGCTTGAGATCGGGAGGTTAAATTCATACTAGAAAACCACACACAAGGTGTTCACAGCCTCAAACTAGGTTCACGGTCGTGAGCCACCTCCTATATATATTAGAGTGACCTCATTTTCTTCTCAATTATCCTCCTCCGAACAACCGTGAACACATCTATTCTCTCCCAAAAAGCTTCAACTGTGAACACTCTAAAGCCTCAAAAATGTAAGTGTTTCATCCTTAATCTTTTCATACTTGAAAGGCTACTAGATCCTATCCTTATTTTGTCAAGTTTCATCATCATCTTCATGAGCTTGAAGGGATCACGACCGTGAACCCTTCATAAGGGTCGTGAACCCTTCATAGATTCATAAGGGTCGTAAACACCTCATGAGTTCATGAACTCCTTAAGGCCACAAACCCATCCATGGGTGGTCGTAAACCCCTTCCAAGCTTCCATTTTTTAGCCTAACACTTCATTTAGGGTGTTTCCTACAATCTTAGGTGGTTTCCTATACTTGGTAGTAGTTATAACCACTAATTGAATATATATATATATATATATATATATATATATATATATATATATATATATGAACATATGCCTTATAGGATCCAACTGTGCTTTGGAACTTCAATTGTGAACTCAAGCATCCTATATCTATCTCACCTTCCAGATCACTCACTTCAGGTGAGTTCATACCCCTAACTTATCTTTTAAATGATTTTAAATGCTTTTATAGGGGGGATACAAGTTGAAAACATTGTAGTTATTATATCAATCACATGTGATTAATAACTATCAATCAAGAAGATTTCTTATTTTTCAAAAACTGTGTTGTTAAACAAACTATTTCAAAAACCTTTTATAAACTAACATCAAGTGATCTATAACCATTCAAATGGTTAAAACTCTTTTATATGCTAAATTCTTTATTAAACTCTTTTAAACTTATATATTGTCAAAATCATGTCTATATAGATATAGTTATATAAATAGGATTGAAAGTGCTTAGGACTGATAACTCGTTTTATTTCTTGTTCCTTGTTTGATTGTGGACTTAGGGTATCGGTTGTTTGTCCGAGTGTCATTTGAATCTTAGTTATATATTATGTATATGTGTATAGATATAAAAGTTCTTCATTCAGTTCAATACCTTGGGATAGCAAAGGTGTTCAAACAAAATCAGTCATTCAAACAACAATACTAGTAAACTATAA